CCATTAAAAAAAAAAAAAAAAAAAAAAAAAGCCCTTCGTTTAAGGGTTAAACGAGAAAACCAAACACCTTTATTCAAACCAACACGGCCACAAAACGGCCCCCCAGAGCGGGGAGAGCCCAGGAGCCGGCGGCCGGTGGGATTTTTGCAGGAGAAATGGGGTTTTGAGGGAGAAAATCCCCGAAGAAGGGAGGCAGAGGGGTCACGAAACGGCGACGCCGATGAGTCAGAGAGGAAGTTATGGCTATTTCGGCTCCTCACGCCCGACTCCTCACGCTCCAATAACCCCCCGACCGGTCGACCCGAGCCTCGGGGGTAGAGCCATCCCATCCCGCTTCTCGGGAACTCCGCAGCAGGAGGGAACCACCCCAATTCCGATGGGAGAATTTGCTAACGGCCGCTTACGGAGAAGCCGCTTCTTCCAAACACCGCCAGAGCTCCGATTTAGGGGACAGATCAGCGCAAACAGTCCCCGAGATTGGGAAAAGGCGGATTTTCTCAGCCTGGGGATGGGCGGAGGTTCTCCGGCGCTCACCGATCCTGCGGGCCAGGTCGATGCAGATCTCCTCGGCGCTGAGGGTGCCCTGAGCGTAGGTCCGGCACCGCTCTCGTTCCTCCTCCCCGCTCCAGTGCAGGCAAACCTTCACGCCGCCGCCGGCCGAGAAGCAGCAACCATCGGCGTCCGACTCGCTGTGCTTCACCGCGCACTGGCACAGAGACATGGCGACGGCGGCTCCCCAAGACGCCCCAGCTGGGAGAAAAAAAAAAACAAAAACAAAACCAAAAAACACCACCAAAAAACCTCAGAGAAATACATCAAAACCAGCACGGAGCGGCCCAGCACCAGTCTCTCCCAGTTGGGTAACTGGGCGCCTTCCATCCCCCCATTATACGCACCTCGCCGTCAGATGAAGCATAACGCGGTGCCGAGCTCGGAAATGCCCGTTGGCGTCTGAGGTGGGGTGAGAAGGGGGGAAAAAAAAACCAAAACAGAGGCAATGGTGAGACCGGCAACGCCGGATCCCCCCCCGTGGCTTCCCCACCCCCGGCGAAATTCGGCACTTATTTCCCCACGCTCTGGTTTTGGGGTTTGGGTTTTTTTAAGCCGACGACGGCCAAGCGGATCCCAACGCCGCAGGGATTCCCCGCGCTCTCGGCACGGTGAGCTCGCCAGCAGGAGCCTTGCCGAAGCTTTGCCCCCCCACCGACTCCTCGCCCAAAAAAAAACCCCAGCTCCGCCGCGCCGGATCGACGCCGGGAGAAGGACACGGCGCCTTCATCTCCCACCGGCAATACGGCGAAGGAAAGCAAGCTGCGGAGTAAACCCAAATGGGGTTTTTTTTTGGGGGGGTGAAAAGGTTTTTGAGGTCCCCACATCCTCGGCATGGGGTTGGGGGGTGTTTCCTCCGCCCCACAGCCGGGGGAGAGCGGAAACAAGCAGGTCTCGTCCCAAAAAGCCGCGATTTTGGGTGCGGGGCGGTGTTTGACCGGGGTACAAAAAAATGAGGGGTGGCCCAAAAAAATGAGGGGCGGCCCAAAAAACAATGAGGCGTGGCCCAAAAAACAATGAGGGGCGGCCCAAAACATGAGAAGCGGCCCCCAAAAAAAAAACACATATCCTGATCCTCTACACCCCCCAGCCCCACATATCCTGACCCCCACAGGTCCCTATATCCTGACACCTCCAGCCCCATATATCCTGACAACCACAGCCCCACATATCCTGATCCTCTACACCCCCCAGCCCCACATATCCTGACCCCCACAGGTCCCTATATCCTGACACCTCCAGCCCCATATATCCTGACAACCACAGCCCCACATATCCTGATCCTCTACACCCCCCAGCCCCACATATCCTGACCCCCACAGGTCCCTATATCCTGACACCTCCAGCCCCATATATCCTGACAACCACAGCCCCACATATCCTGATCCTCTACACCCCCCAGCCCCACATATCCTGACCCCCACAGGTCCCTATATCCTGACACCTCCAGCCCCATATATCCTGACAACCACAGCCCCACATATCCTGATCCTCTACACCCCCCAGCCCCACATATCCTGACCCCCACAGGTCCCTATATCCTGACACCTCCAGCCCCATATATCCTGACAACCACAGCCCCACATATCCTGATCCTCTACACCCCCCAGCCCCACATATCCTGACCCCCACAGGTCCCTATATCCTGACACCTCCAGCCCCATATATCCTGACAACCACAGCCCCACATATCCTGATCCTCTACACCCCCCAGCCCCACATATCCTGACCCCCACAGGTCCCTATATCCTGACACCTCCAGCCCCATATATCCTGACAACCACAGCCCCACATATCCTGATCCTCTACACCCCCCAGCCCCACATATCCTGACCCCCACAGGTCCCTATATCCTGACACCTCCAGCCCCATATATCCTGACAACCACAGCCCCACATATCCTGATCCTCTACACCCCCCAGCCCCACATATCCTGACCCCCACAGGTCCCTATATCCTGACACCTCCAGCCCCATATATCCTGACAACCACAGCCCCACATATCCTGATCCTCTACACCCCCCAGCCCCACATATCCTGACCCCCACAGGTCCCTATATCCTGACACCTCCAGCCCCATATATCCTGACAACCACAGCCCCACATATCCTGATCCTCTACACCCCCCAGCCCCACATATCCTGACCCCCACAGGTCCCTATATCCTGACACCTCCAGCCCCATATATCCTGACAACCACAGCCCCACATATCCTGATCCTCTACACCCCCCAGCCCCACATATCCTGACCCCCACAGGTCCCTATATCCTGACACCTCCAGCCCCATATATCCTGACAACCACAGCCCCACATATCCTGATCCTCTACACCCCCCAGCCCCACATATCCTGACCCCCACAGGTCCCTATATCCTGACACCTCCAGCCCCATATATCCTGACAACCACAGCCCCACATATCCTGATCCTCTACACCCCCCAGCCCCACATATCCTGACCCCCACAG